TATATATGAGTTGTGTTCACTTTATTTTGTTTATGGTGATACGGGGACTAGTAGTTGAATTTTCACACAACCATATGAGTAGAGCTGACGATTCCATTGAAATTCACATAGCATTGTTTTCCCAAAAGGTGTTCTCATCCAGTGTGGACTACAGTTTCGACCTCGCCTGAGTCTTATAAACATCTCCAGTGGAACTCAAACCATGACAGTACAGCGTGTAATCTCGACACGTGAGCCACTCCGCCACGTTACCATGGGTGCCCTTGGGTCACGGGACAATTGTGAATTTCATGGAAGGCTGGGCGTTTTCCCATATTATATTCGGTGGTGAGATTGTCATTGAAGCAATGCTATATTTGCTATCGCAATCGACTAAATTACTCATTTTTCGTTTGGTCAACGTGTCAAGAATATACGCTGCATTATCATGGTTCGAGTCCAGCTGAGTGTGGTGATAAGACCTAGGCGAGGTCAAAACTGCAGTTCATCCCTCAAGAGAAAACCTTTTGTGAAGCAAGGCTATGTGAAATTCAATGGTAAGATCAGCTCTACTCATATTATCATGGGAAAATTCAACTTCCAGTGTCAAAATACCTGAAATAGAACATTTTTTAAATTTGTCTGACTCCTTATATGCCTGATTCTTGTAATTCCCACCCAAATCGGACTGAGTTTTACCCTCGCCTCATCATCTCATCCGCACCGAAAACGTTATTCGAGGCGTGGATGTGCCATCACTTTTAGGGTTCGCAGCAGTGGCAGAAGCTGTGATTTTAGGACAATTTAGAAAATTCTGACCATTCGTCCACAATATCCAGCGAACTAAGAGAAGGAGCCCACTTTTACCATCCCGTACCAGGCAATTGCTAACCTGCCTGCTCCAAAGGGGTCTTCTGTTAGAACGGTCTGGTGTCAGATCAGTGGCCGCTTGTTCAGGGATTCACCAATACCCAAATTAGTGAGGGCTTTGTGCTGATCATGTGCACCCAATATGACGGCAATACAGACCCTCTTTTTAGATTTAAAAGGTCTACATTATTCCGGAAATGAACTCTGGACATCCTCGATGTTTATCAATCCTGATGATATAGATTGATAGAGGCTTACTTAACAGTAGAAGTAGCCTATATCATATTTTTCAGTGGCTACTGTTCGTCCTGGGAAATAATTGCTGGATAAACTATCTTGTGGTATCATACCAGGATTGTGCTCATAACTAGGCCGCCTCTAATATTATGCCTTAACGATTCACGTCATCCATGCACCCAGTGCCCCATCATTTATCAAATCGCTTTCTTTCTATCCTTATTTCTTTTACACTTTATTTGGGACTTTCGCCTCACTTACCTGTTTATTGCATTTCGCTTACCTGACTACTCCATGCCCCATAGAAGCTGCGTTAAATTGGATCATTTTTTTCTTTTCTCGAACATTTCATCCACCCCGCCACGACAATCTTCATTTCCGAGACCAGTTCGAGTTGAATACGCTCTTGCCACTCGTCGACGCCACCACGTCGAGGTTGGATCGGACGATGCCTGGCCAGAGTCCCGCGTTTCTCGACACGCCGACAGTTGGTCGCAGGGGGATTCTGCTGTAGCCATGGCTCCTTTTCATCATCTTCCAGAGGCTGGAGGATTTGACGACTGGCAGGCCTCAGTGCAGGCCGGACGGCCTCGACGACGCCAACGACAGCGTCACCAGATGCAGCAGCGGCAGAGGCCTTTGGCTAAGAGAAGAAGACGACAAGTCCAGAGAATGGATACCGTCAACTGGCAACAACTGGAGTTAGTTGTCCGCGTTGTGCGGCTCTATGACATGGTAATTAAAGCCAGTTTAACTAATGCACATTTTTTGGCGGAATGTGATCCAGATCGCATCATGTCAGAGAGGTCGTCTCCCACTCCGATTACAGGACCGTCAAAATCTCATTAAAAGTAGAGTGAGGCAAAGCATGGTCATAA